GCTGAGCCATTCACAGTGCCCTGCTCATTCAGGCACAGAGTGTGCTCTTTCTGGGACCCTGCCAAACCCTAGAGAGAGCAGAGCTTTGAAAACTCAGCTCCCAGCAAACTGCACTATAGTCCTGCTTAGCATCTGGCCACCACTCGGTCCACTTGCCCTAGGGTCTCTTGCAGTGCCCGTGAGCTGCCCGGCTCTCTTTTGGTCTTGGAATACACTTTAACAGCTGCAAGCTCAGTTTAAAATCCTACAAAAAATAGGACCCTGTAGTGAAAAGATGTAGGGAGTCCAACTCAACTGTAATAAAATTTGGTTCTTCTCCGTCCTGTGAGAAGAAAACCAGATGCTACCCCGTTCCCAGAGTAAGTCACCAATTCTTGATGTGGGGGAACAGCTTAGTTCAGCGGCGTGACAGGGTCTGAGCTGGCACTTTTCAGTCTCAGTCTTAGTTACACACACACGCGCACACACACACAATCTGTTTCAAGTTTTAGTGAATGAAAATTCATGTCATAGATTGCCATTCTTAGTTTTTAAATAGCTTTTAATTTTGTTAAAGTAATTATAATTTGGGGGGAAATACTGATATATCAGCAGACTTTTAACATTGCAAAGCTTTGAGTCTTGATTTTCTAGTGCTGACTCCCAAACTGAGAGTTAACGTGCAACAAAAGAAGATGCTAACTAAAGAAAATGGAACCAGAAGTGTAACTAAAGAAAACAGGGAGCCAGGCATGGGGGCCCGGCCTGGACAACTTAGCAAGACCTTGTCTCAAAATCAATTTTTAAAAAAAAGCACAGGGAGCTGAGGATGCGCTTGGTACAAAGGCCTTGGAGTCAGTCCCCAGGGCTGAGGCATGGCGCACATGGGCGCACAGGCGCGAAAACAGAGCAAATGGAGCAAGGGCGGGAGGCCATGAGGAGAAGGAAAAGTTGAAAGGACAACCCTGAAGTTACAGTCAGTTCTGCTGTGACACAACATTCATTCCTTAAAAATTACTGCACTGTGCAGAGTTGCGCAATAAAAGCCACATGAGGCCTGTTGGGGAAGTGGGTTAGGGCACAACACTCCTAACCGCACTGCTGACAACACGGAGAGATAGGAACCTAAGGAAGCCAGCAGTCTTGTATGTCAAGTGGTACAAAGTACATAAATACTAGAGTAAATGACAGTTTGTCTCGAAAAAGAACTGGCATTTGCTGATGAAGTGGGCGCGGGGAGGGCTGCAGCCCGTGCATTGTGGAGAAGCGATGGGGCTGTAGCACCAAGTGTGGGTGGGTGCAGTTGGGACGGCCGTGGTGACCTGAGGTGGATGGTGAGCAGTTCTGCCAGGTACAGCTTTCTGCGCCCACCTACTCTTGCTTCCAGATGAAAGCAGAGGCGAGATTCCATTATGGCCCAGTTGTTCCTCATTATGTCCATGGCTTTGGAATAAATCTGCATTCTCAAAACAGGCATTATTTAAAGATTTTTAATTTAAAAAACGGCCATTATAGCAGACCTGATATATTTAATTAGATTGGAAATTGTATTTAATCATTTGATCTCAAGAGAAAATACAAATGCTGTTTAACTAGTGATGGGGCTATATCCCGGTTGAGACTGCATCAGCACCCTGAGCCTGCCAGACATGGTGGTGTCACCTCACAGCACACTGCAACCTGCAGGCTGCTTCCCGCATGAGCACGTGGCTGACTGTCCAGCATCAAGAAAGAGGATTGTGGGCCAGGGATTTAGCTCAGTGGTGTTGCCGCCTGCCTTGCAAGGTCCCGAGTTCCATCCCTGGTACCAAAAAAAAAAAAGAGGATTGTACCGTGCATCACTGGCCCAAAAAAAGACAGGGATGGCTTTCCTGGATGCAGATCCCTGTTGTACCATTGTAAAACCAAAAAATTGTAAGTTGAACTGTCATAAGCTGAGATATTTGTTCTGAGACACCTGTTTGAGAATTCTTCTTTTTTCTTGTGCTTGCAAGGCAGGCACGCTCCCACTGAGCCGGATCCCTGGCCCCTGTTGGAGAATGCTGCTGCCCCAAGAGTAAAAGGAGCATACTTCTCAGAAGTCCAGAGTTCCAGCTGGGTTTCCCCCCTCTTTGTAACGCAGATGGAGTTACTTCTTTAGTCTTCTGGAAACACTGCAGTGTTTACACTTTAGTGTTCAGGAAAACATACAGCAAGCTCATTGAATCTACTGTTTTGTAGATATCTGGCCTTGGGAAAATAGCTATCAGATGGGGTGGGGATACTTTGCCTCACCATGAAGTCCACCTGAAGTGACAGGGGCAGGAGTTAAGTTGTCCATGGAGAGGGGCATGGTCATTAAGTCTGGCTAGGGCTGGGAATGCTGGCCATTCTGAAACTGTGTGGAGAATTGTCCTGTCCAAGGTACCAAGAATGCCTCCAAGAGAGATTTGTTAGAATTAGACTAAGGAAAAGGAGTGAAAGAATTGAAAATAATTTAAAGAACAATGCTGAGTTTTTAAAAACAGGGTTTTTTTTCATTTAAATTACGTTTATTAGCATAATTACTGGCCTTGATATTTTATATATAAACTTTCTATTTTTTTTTTTCATTCATTGATTTTTTTTTTTTTTTGGTACCTGGGATTGAACTCGGGTCCTTGTGATTCATTCGTTAATTTTATTGGTACATTTTAGGTATACAATATAATGCCATTTGTCATTGGGAATTTGTACCTGTACATGATGTATCTTGGTTCTTATTTTTTCCCTTCCCCTGCCCTCCCTTCACCCCCTCCATTCCTCCCTATTTACAAAGACTTTGTTTCCATTTTTCCTTTTCTCATAATTTTTCCTTTCCCTTCTTTCCTTTCCCCTACCCCTCCCTCTTCCCCTTCCCCTTTGGACCTTTTCTTCCTATTTCACATTACCTATTAGACATTTTGATCCTTATTTACACTTTCAGTTTCTCACACTAGAGAAACTATTCCATATTTTATGTGGCTTTGGAATGATGATGAAAATAACTTGCAGCTGACAGAAGTTTGGAAAGCACTACTAAGGACAGGCAGTAGTAGTGAACTTTATCGCACAGGCCCTTGTAAATAGTGCCACAAGCCATGTGCTCCAGAGCTATGCAGAGAGTGATCCACTCAGCCAAGATGATAGTTCTGAGGCATTTGCTTGGTCTAGGCTGCCTCTCAGCCATGGCTGCACAGTAGTGTCACACAGGGAAGCTTGTGGAAGTGTGGATGCCCAGGCCCCACTTATGACCACCCGAGCCACAATCTGTGAGTGAGGGATGAAGGCATCAGTGTATTTTAAAGCTCCTCAGGCCATTCCTGTGTGTAGCCACGGTTGAGAACCACTGGTCCAGGGCCTTTTGAAAATCACACCTTTTCCAAAGAAAAGCTGTACCAGTCTTACAAATGCCAAGTGAAGACCTATTTCCCAGCCTGCCTTGAAAAGGAAGATGAGAGACAGGCTCATTCATGCAAGCTCCTCCCCTCCAAGGCAGGAAGCAAAACTGTAAACGGGTGACAAATGCTGCAGCTTGGAAGGTGTTCAGAGTGGTTTGGAATCACAGAAAAAGACTGCATTGAAACAAAACACCACATGCCCAATTTGAAAAATGATTAAAGTTATTTAGTTTTCCATTCCTTAAACACACAACTTTGATGTGGGGCAGGAGGAAGAGGCATTCATTGTAATTACTCTCATTTTAGCCTTCCTAACTTGATTATAGACTTTCTGTGGTTGGTGTAGAGAATTTGAATTTTGCCTGGCCTGCTGTGAACCAGGCTCTGAAGTTCCCCGTAAAGCATTGCTGAGCCCATGGCCTTCCAGCAAGAAGTCATCCCAGCATCCCCTGAAGGCTTTGGGCTGCTAAGGCGGCTCTGGAGCTAAGCCACTTACACACGGCCGTGGTCCCTTCTTCTGACATGCTTAGGGTTCTCAGTGCACATCCAGCTGTCACAATCTGACAGGTGGCAGGTAAAGCTTAGGGTTAAACAAATGTGTGATTTTGAATTATGAGTATATTTGAAGACAGCCACTAAGTTGCTATCACAGGCTCTCAAGTAAACAAAGTTACCAGTAGTTAACCTGTTTCCAGTGGTAGCATTTTACAACACCTGTTGATTTGTATTAGTATGCATTACCTTACCCCAAGAAAACTTGATTCTTCAGTGGATAGCGCTAATCTCAGTTAAACTTTGTAGTCTGCACTTAACCATGAATTACTTCTGGTTTAAAAAACAGGAGCAGGCCAGGGATTTAGCTCAGTGGTTCCGGCACCTGCCTTGCAAATGCAGGGTCCCGAGTTTGATCCCTGGTACCAAAAATATAAAAATAAAATAAAAAATAAAAAAACAGGCACAGCTATTTGTGGTAGTTTTTGCCTTGCGCCTTTGGCATCTGTGTGGTATGAACCAGAGCTATGCCATCTGTAGTCAAGGGAGATAATTAAAGAGAAAAAAAAGAGTGAAATGATTCACTGGAAAATTTCAGCACAGATTCTTAAGGAATGATAAGAGAACCCTAGAAACATTCTCACTTGGTGTCATTTGCTGGTGGGTAGTGACAGGAAAAAAAAAGGTATGACTTATTTATTAAGATTTTGCTACATTGAAAATTGAAGAGGTGCTATGCTAGAAAGAGAAAGGAAGAAAGAATTCCCATACGATGTCAATTAGCAGAGCTCTGCAGATGCGTGAATCATTATCCTCTTTCTGAATGCAAGTTGGAGCCAGTGAGGTTCATTTCTAGTGCACAAAACCAAAAAGGCAGTATGGCTTGTGTGGAAGGTTGTTTCATTTCCTCGTGGGCAGTTGTGATAAGCTTCTTTCTGCTGAGGTTGCCAGCACGGAGGACTAGCTCCTAGAATGCTGAGTAGGTCTGCGGGGCCAGATAAGAAAGCCCTTTCTGAGAGCTGGGCATCTCGCATAGTCTCACCTAACGACACACTGACCTGAGGAACTCTTCTGAGTCCCATTTGAGATTTGCCTGAAACATGGTGTCTTTCTCTGTGTTTTCCTTTTCAGAAAGAAGACATGGCTCATCCAAGCCTTCTTTGGCCGTTCCGCCCACCTCAGTATTCCCCTTCTTCCCTTCTCTGTCCAAGAGCAGAGGAGCCAGTACGAGTGGAAGCAGCCGCCCTTCCGGCGGAGGGCTTCTGAGCGCATCCTCCTCCAGTTCCAGGTTACTGAAGTCACCCAAAGAGAAACCGCAGCTTAGGGGGAACACCAGGCCGATGCACCCCTTTCAGCAAAGTAGAGGCCCCCACAGCAGAATGTGAGTATGTCCACGAGGGCTATTCACACTTGCCTGCTGGGAACACACGTGTGTGCAGATACCGTCGTATTGAGCATGTCTGTGAGCCCCCTGGGGAAGTGAGTGTGTGCAGTTGATTCTTTTTTTTTTTTGGTACCAGGGATCGAACTCGGGACCTTACACTTGCAAGGCAGGCAGCAGAACCACTGAGCTAAATCCCCGGCCCTGCTGTTGATTCTTTTTGTTTCCCTGTCTTGTCCTAGGAGACTTTTCAGAGTAGTAATAGCAATATCAATAAGGTTAGTCATATTTACTGCTCCTTCACTATACCAGTTCCTGAAACTTAAGCGTGGGCACTGTGTCTTTGAATCACCACAACATCCCTGGGGCGTGGGCAGTGGTTGTCTCCATTTTCCAAATGAAAACAAAGACAGTTGAGTTCAGCTTTGAGAAGAACTCAAATCAGATAGGCCTGAGTTCAGACCCTGCCTTTGTCACTTCCTGTCTGAGGGCGTTGGACAGGTGGGCTCTAAGAAGAACAGCGGAGATGCAGTTAGTACCTGTTGGGTGGCCACACCGTGCCTGGCCGCAGGAGATGGTAAATAAATGATGCCAGTTCCCAATGCTCGGCTGGGACCAGAAGGGGAGGGGTTCCCAGATGCTGCAGGGAAGCAATGTGTCCTCGCCCAGCCTGGGGCTCTTGTCACAGCAGTGATGAGGGCAGGCTGAAAGAAGCTCACACCCTTGGCAAGGCTTGGCAAGTTTCCAGGTGAGGCTGGCAGTCGGCAGCCTCCTTGGCATCCCATGAAGATGCAGCTGAGCCCTCCCATGGAAACACCTTGCTTGGTCAGGGCACCCCTCAGCCTGGTAGTGGGTGGCTTTCCCTGCCGCCTTTCTGTGGAGGCTGTGCCACACATTTTGGTCCCAAGGCAGGGTCCCGCACCTGCTGCTGCTCCAGGCCTTGCCAGCTGGGTGAGGCCATGCCATCTTCCAACATCTCTGTTGCTGTCGGGCTGCTCCGGGTACAGCTGTTTGGGGCTGGTTTCCTGGTGCTGAGCCCCCAGCCCCTGCTCATCTGTCAGAAGTACAGTACAGGAAGCTTGGCTCTCAGTCCTTTTTAGCTTTCTGAAAGCCAAAGAAAATGCCAGTGTGATGTGTAAGTCACTCGCCAGTTTAACAGCCCTGAAAGTACAGAGTCCACTGAGTGGTTTGTGAAACCTCATCATTTCAGATCTTCATGTGGAGCTAGGGGCTTTAAAAGAGGACCAGGCCACCTGTTAGCATCCTGCCGACAGTGTCAGGGTTACCAGGTAAAATGACAGTGTCAGTAAGACCCCAAGAGTGTCAGTGCTTGATCCTGGCGCGGGTACCCAGCATTCACCCACTATTATCCAGGGGCTTGGGCTCTAAGCTTCTGGCCTAGAAACCTTTTTCCGGTTTCAGTGACGCATCGTGCACTAAGTAAACCTTGGTCTTCCTTGTTGCCAGGAGCCTTGCCCTGCAGATACAGTTTTAGGCATCTGTGTTTGATGTTATATTTGTGTTCTCATAAGTCTTTAGTGACATTCCTTGGAAATACGGTATTTGCTCATTCAGAAGTTTGGTTTGTTTTGATGGTCCTTTCTTTAAAACAGTGGTTCCCATAGGATATTCTCTTATGTTCTGCAGGGATTCTTTGGTCCTTTCAGGCCTTTTCATGTTTTGCTTGTTGCAGAAATTGCATTGGTTACCAGGTCTGAGTCTCCCCTAGGTCCATGTGTAAAAGTTTTCCAAAATGATGAAAGTCAAGTAAAATGGATGATCCACGGGGACTTCACCTACCCAGCAGGCCTTAGAGATGGAATGAGTGTGAACCTCACTGGGGCCTCGAGGAGGCTGGCCTGGCCTGGCCCTCGCTCAGCAGGCCTGGGCCCTGCCCTGGCCTGGGGCTGTGGGGCACTCAGGCGCAGGTGTTGCTTGCTCCCACACAGCATGACACCCTCTGTGAAAGTGGAAAAGATCCAGCCGAAGATGGACGGCACACTACTGAAGTCTGCGGTGGGGCCGAGCTGTCCTGCTACTGTGAGTTCCTCAGTCAAGCCTGGCCTTAACTGCCCCTCAATACCAAAGCCAACCTTGCCTTCACCTGGACAGATGCTGAATGGCAAAGGGCTTCCTGCACCGCCCACTCTGGAGAAGAAAGCCGAAGACTGTTGCAGTAATAGGAAGTTTTTAAATAAGAGATTATCAGGCAAGTTCACAGCTGTCTGTACATTTAAAGGGCATTCACAGGGAGCATATGGACTGCTGTGTGTGAGGCTGGGTTCAGCTGGAGGAGGGGCTCCCTGTGCAGCACACTCAGTTTCTTCATTGGGTTTCTTTTTTGGTACCAGAGATCGAACTCGGGACCTTGCACTTGCGAGGCAGGTGGCAGAACCACTGGGCTACATCCCCAGCCCTCTTCACTGGGTTTTAAAGCGTGTGCTGGTGCATGTGTGTGTGTGAGCTTAGGCTGTGTGAGAAGAGCTCTTAGGGGTTGTTTCTGAATGCACTTACATGGTAATACTAATGCACTTTTCCACCATCTGAAGGCAGTTGTAGTGTCAGTGACGTTGCTGCTTCGTCTTTTATTTTAATTTTGTGTTAGTGCCTGTTTGCAGCATGGCTGCGTTCCTCCTGTGGAGTGGGCACACGCACATGACGCATCTGAATTCTCTTGGCCCCTCCCCACCTCACCCTCCATGTTTGGCTTCCTTTTGCAGAAGATCTATCTCCCCAGTTTGCATCATTTACCTTTTCATTTTGCTCTTTTTTTTTTCTTTTTTCTTTTTTTCAGTACCAGGGATCGAACTCAGGACCTAGTGCTTGCCAGGCAGGCGAGGTGCCGCTGAGCCATATCCCCGGCCCCTTGCTCTTTATTTATATTTTGGGTTTCTCGTATAAGAGGAACCATGTGATATTTAAGCTTGTGTGTCTGATTTATTTCATTTAAGATTAAGGGCTAAAGGTAGATCCATTTTCCTACAAATGACTCAAGTTTATCCTTCCTGTGGCAGAGTAGCACTCCATTGTGTAGATCCGTATTTTCTTTATCCAGTCATCTGTTGATGTTATTTATTGATAATGATAGATTTTACTTAAATTATAATTTAGCTGTCTTGAGATTTCTCATATTTTCTTATCTACAAAATGGATGAAGGAGTATTTGGAAAGCCAATTGTAATGTCTGTGTGCTTCTGACAGAAAGAGAGTTTGATCCTGACATCCACTGTGGGGTCATTGATCTCGACACCAAGAAGCCCTGCACTCGGTCTTTGACATGCAAGGTAGGTGGTACTGTTCTGCTCCCGGGAGCCACGCTCTGGGCATTGTCCCAAGTGGCATAGAGACGGAAAAATTTGCTTCTGATGACAAAATGTGAAGTGTTATTATAAATTACACTCTTGAAAGAGGTTTTGCTTGTAATGAGAGTTTTATATACTGCTAGACAATAGCGTTCTTTCTTGATCAGTCTCTTATTTTCTAAGACTCAGTATTTCCAAATAGAAATTCAATGAGAGGCTACTGTATGTGGTTTAAATTGCACTGACTTAGAACAAGTCCAGAAATTTCTTTGGCGAAAATCCGAATATTCCTAAAATGTAATCAGTCCATGGCTCTTACACATTAAAGAGCCACCTTTTAAAACTCTGTGACTTTAATGTGGAATCTGGACCATGTCTTTGCTGCCATACCATGTCAGTTGTTTTCAGTAATTACAGTTTGTGGTTTGTAATACTCTTTGATTGGTTTTGCTTAGTTTCTTACAAAAACTAAAAATTGATTATTGCTAAAAAAATAGACTTTGAGATTGCCTTAACTTTGTACATTTTTTTAAAAGACTAGAGAAAATGTAATCTAATTTATACATAAATGAAGGAACAGCAGTGGTCTTCGTCCCTGTTTGAATTCCTTCTTCACTTCCTGCACGGGGCCGGTCTGTGAAGGTGGGAAGGTGGTGGCCTGCCACAGAGGAAGCACTGTTGGCAGGGGTTGGCCTGCGGGCTGAGTGCCCCCACTGCACACACGAGTGTCTTTGTGCCTTTCTCCAGAGTGGCCCGCCGCCTGCAGAGGGGTTCGTGGGCTTTAGGGATCAGTGCAGTGGCCCCGACTCAGGAGCGAGTTCTGCTCCGGGAGAGTCGTGCCTGAGTTAGATTCATCTGTAAACCTGCCAAGTGAGGCTCCTGCAGTACACGTGAGTGTCTGTAGCTCCCACGCGCAGAAATCAGGGACTTACTCACTTCTAGGGATATAATTTTAAACCTTTTTTCAGGGAGTGGGGAAAATTATAAAAGTGCTTTCTAAAAATTAATAAAATTGTTGTTCTCTTAAATTTTACTTTTAGGTGGTTCTTAATTTCAATTTAAATTCCTAATGTAATTTCAGTGAGTGGATTTTGTTTTACAACATGGATTGGCTGTAAACCTGTAGGGAAAAAGGCTAAATTTAAATGTCTAATTTTTAGCCAGGCATGGTGGTGCACACCTGTAAATCCCAGCCCTCAGAAGGCTGAGGCAGGACGGTCACCACAAGTTCAAGGCCACCCTATCTAAAAAAGAAAAGCAAAATAAATAAAAATAAACATCTAATTTCTTAAAAAATAGGGGGAAAAGCCCCCCCCATGTATTCTGACTCTTGCTTTCCATCTGGGATTGATGGCCACCCCCACCCCAAGTCTGCCCTTAGTCTGTAGGTGGGAACTCCTACCTCCACACAAGCTGATGTGCAGAGGGCTGTCTTCACTGCTTCAGTCCCGAGGACAGCAGGGTGCTTCAGCCAGCCCTCCAGGGCGGAGTGACCCAGTCCTCACCCGTTCCAAGTCCCGCTTACCCCCTGCCCCCTTCCGGGGTCCTCGGGAGCGAGACGGCTGGTGCTGACTCCTGCGGTCAGGGAAGGACAGTTTCCTCACCCAAGACGCTCTGTTAAGTTATCCGCACAGCGTGATGTTGAGCCAGGCTTTCTTCCTTTCTCAACTTCATCTCACTGTGGTGAGGACTTCTAGATGACACATGCGCTCTCAGTGTTGGCTGTGTACAGTGTTGCACAGCAGGCCTTGGACTTACTCGTCTTGCTCAACTTGAACCCCAAGTTCCCGGAAGCCCTGTCTGTGTACCCTTCAGACTGAGCCGGGGCAGCATTGCCTGCAGCCTGCCTGGCAGTGCTTTGCTCCTCTGTCCCGGAGCCTGAGCAGACCCGGGAAGGTCACTGTCCATCCTTCCTTCAGCACGGAATAGGGCTGCTGTTCCCGTGCACTTTTCAGCGGAGGCGTTTGTGGAGTGGCAGGCACTCTTCTGGGTGCTGAGACCCCACTGAGGAAAACATCATCTCTTGTCCTTGCAGAGGTTACTTCCTGTGTCACATACTAGAGAGAAACGAACTGAAAGTTTAGGACAAGCAGACACATTTATTTGTGCCAGGTTAGATTTGGGGTGGGCACAGTGTGCAGCACAGTGTAGTAAGATGGTAGGTTTTGTTAATGAATTTCAAATGGAAGTTTGAAGAATAATTCCCTTAAGTTCCTTTAAACGTGCAGCAAACACACTATGCAAACCTGTAGAGCAATACACCTGTTGGATATGCAGGGGTGTAAGTTCACCTGAAGTGTTATTTTTGGTATTTTGTAAGACATAGAGAGAAGCATGTAGACAAACCCACTCACATCCGTGGATATGTGATTAGGGTGCCGCAGTCAATGCATGCGCTCAGGGCTCTTGGCAGACTCAGACCGCAGCAGAAGCGGGATACCCAGGCTACCTGGCCTGCAGCGTCGTGTCACACCGATTACTCAGCTGCCACTGAGATTCACCCAACTCTGACCATGCCATACTTTACCTTCTGCTACTAGCAGTGTTAGACTTCGATTACTTTGGTTTTTACACAGTGCCAATAATTATCAAATGCATTTCGAATGCAGACATTCTCTTATCAGCTGTGTTTCAACCCCAGGTTTGTATTGGTGACCTTATCAAAGCCACCAGTGCCATGATTTGACTTCTTTTTCCTCAGTGTGCCCATTCCTGACTCTGACGTTAGACACTGTCGGCACACTTGGGAGCAGAGTGCTTTGTTTTCTTGATTTTCGCTCTGCTTCACATCTCTCCCGTTTGCCACCCCCTCTCCCCGCTCTGCCTCATCTTTTCAATGTCTAGAAAGTTGTCTTTGTCAGGAGCAGTGTGTGGCCCCAGAATATTTGAGCCACTTTCTTTCCTTGGCATGTTCATTGGAATAGAGGGAAACAGTTGTGTTCAACATTTTTCTCTTAAAAGAACACTTTCTAATATATATTTTATGGGATAATTGTTTCTTCTCCTTAAATTAGCATTCAGAAATTTAAATAGTGGAAAGAAGGATTTTTTTTATGGAGCTTGTGAGAACTTGGACGAACAAGTTGCTTTTACGGAGTCAAACATGATTACCTGGGGCCGAGGATTTAGCTCAGTGGTTTCACTGCCTGCCGCACAAGCGCAAGGACCCGAGTTCGATCCCTGGTACCAAATAAAAAAAAACAAAACATGATTACCTGTTAGCTGCGTGTGCTGTTCACCACTCGGTCACATAGTGAGTGAAACAGCAAACATTTCTCTTTCCTTCTGCAGCTGCCCGAAATCTGTGCTTCTGGCCTGGCTGACGAGAGGAGATCAGGCGCCTAGGGCTTGCTGCTTATCAGATGTTGGACAGTCTTTATGCTAATGGTTTACATGGCTTTTTTATGGAGAGTGTTATTTTGGGATGCATGATGAAAATTATTACTGAGATTCCTGTTTCCCTATTCTTTGTTGTGCAGACACATTCCTTAACCCAGCGGAGGGCTGTTCAGGGTAGAAGAAAACGATTTGATGTGTTATTAGCGGAGCACAAAAACAAACCCAGGGAAAAGGAATCGATTCGCCATCTGGACTCTCAGCAACCACTGCAGCCTCTCAGGGACCCACATCCCACCCCTCCCCGTACGTCCCAGGAGCCCCACCAGAACATTCACGGGGTGACCCCCTCCGAATCAAAGCCTTTCGTAGCTAGTAAACCTAAACCACACACCCCCAGTCTTCCCAGGTAAGCACACCCTCCTCCTCTCCCTCCCTCAGAGCACGGGCTGTAGACATTGTACATACAAACCTCCCGCTCACTGAAGAGACTGCAGGGTTTAATTGGGGTTTACTCCGAAAATAAAGCACTGTTGAGGTCACCAGTAAGTTTTAGTCGGGGTGCTCTTGGTTGCAAATCCAAGTAGCAGCATAAAGCTAAAATTATCTGCTCTACATCTGCTCAGTATCAGGTGTCTTTACACCACTGAGCAGGGCTGCCGCTGGGTCCTGCCTGCAGGTTGTGGATGGGAACATTTTCCGTGGCTTTGGAAGCAGTTTTTCATTCATTTGTTGGCGGCGGAACCACTGAGCTAAATCCCCACCCTATTTTTTTTCCTTTTTTTTGCCATTGTCATTACATTTAATCCTCAGAACACCCTGTCAGGAGAGTATTATTGGCCCATCTTACAGATGAGGAACAGGCTCACACCCACCCAGGGCCACAAGGCTGACAGGACAAGTCTACAGTGCTGTTTGTGGCACCATCCACTTGTCAGTGTGGTTTTTCATTCATTCATGTGGGACTTGGATCCATGTGCCGATTGGGCATTTTGGCAGCATAGTGAGCAATGGGCCAGGGTGTCTTAAGCACAGTTTATCACACCCTGCCTCAGGGCCAGGGGTGCTGGAGTATGTGTGTTTGTGCTTATATGTTCCACCAAGTGGCAGAAAAGGCCCAGTTTCCAGGGCCAAGGGAAAGAGAACGGCCTAGAGAGTGAGGAGCTCCAGGGCTGGCTGTTGAGCTGCAGGCCACAGGGCTTCTGCCAGGGACATGCTTGCCTGTCAGCGGCTGCTGCGTTTAGTTTCACCCTCTGTACTCGACCCTGGAAGTACTTCCTCATGACAAACCCACGTGTGCCTGAGCCTGTCCCAACATGGCCTGTGGCTTCTGAGCAGTGCCCTAGAGGAGCGGGCAGAAGAGGCTCCCCAGGTGTGGGCAGGCCCCAGCCAGAGAGGCCTGCCTAAGTCCTTTCTCTGGCCATCTTCTCACTAAATCTGTAAAAAGTCACCTTAATTCCAGAACCACCAGGCCATCATAGATACAGGAGGAAGATATCACTGTCCCCAGGAACAGGCGCCAGACTGTCCACCTAAAAGTGGGAATGCTGCCTCATTCCTTGGTCACCTCCCCTCCCTTCTCCATTATTTTATTTATTGCCCTAGTAACGCAAAGCCAGTTGAAATGTGAAGAGGGGTCAAGAAAGAATCCTCTCAAACCCTGCATGCACTCCCCTCTTGGGGGAGAACAGAGGAGAACCTAGGTCACTGTAGCTGTGGAGGGAGGACTCGTCTCACGTTGTCGTGTGTCTGCTGGCAGCCAGCACCTGACCACCACGCAGTCAGGAGAGCAGTTGCTCTGCTCCCTGGCCCCCAGGTCAGCGTGTGTCCCCAGGGCTGGTGGTGGAACCCAGCCCCGGGTGGCTTTGATACGTGGGTGTATGTGAGTTAAGGTGGCTGGTTCTCGGGCCGTGGTCTGATCTGTGCTGTCCTTTCTGCCCACCAAGGCCTCCAGGCTGCCCTGCTCAGCAAGGTGGGAATGCCCCCACTGAGCCTCCTCCAGTCCGTGAGTCTCCACAGCCTCCCCTGCCTGCCTCTGAGCCAGCTTCCCGGTTATCCAGTGAGGAGGGCGAGGGCGAGGGCGATGACAGGGAAGAGCCTGTTGAAAAACTGGACTGTCATTATTCAGGTCGTCACCCTCAGCCAGCATCGGTAAGTACCCCGTCCACCCCGCGCTGACCTCCCCACAGCATGGGCGGCACTGCAGGGGTGCCAGGGCCGTGGCGTGTGTACCCACCCGAGTGGGACACACAGGGCGTGTGAGCAGCTCAGAGCAGTGCCCAGAGGCCGGGACATCTGCTTTCCCTGTCTCCGCGAGACCCGGGATGGGCCGTTGTCACGCTCTCGCTTCATAGCCACTGGTGCTCAGGGCCAGCTCCGTCTTCCTCACAGCGTCTCTCGTGGAGGAGAAAGACCCCTGGCCAGCGTGCTGGTGTCCGAGGGGGCAAGCAGGTGCCCTGTGCTCTCTCTTCCAGTTTTGCACATTCGGGAGCCGGCAGATGGGCAGAGGCTATTACGTGTTTGACTCCAGGTGGAACCGGCTTCGCTGCGCCATCAGCCTCATGGTGGAGAAGCATCTGAACTCGCAGCTGTGGAGGTGAGTGCCTGCTGGGTGTGGGGCCGATGCAGATGTGGCCTGCAGCCAGTCCTGGGGAGAAGAGCCGCCCACTCGGCCCCCTTCCGTGTGGGGGCTGGGGTTCAAGGCGGAAGGACTCCCACACATATGTCTAGTTGGGAGTGGGGGAGGCAAAAGCCAGTCAGCCTACGTGTAAAGAGACTGCGGCTCGTCCTCAGGCAGCTGCAGGCAGCAGCGACAGTCACCAACCCTGGGAGCTCTGTGTGCGCTCTGTGTGCCAGGGGCTTCCTGAGCACATTCACCTCTCGCCATTCTCTGTCAGGTGCCTGTGATTGCTGTTCCCGATGGCAAAACTGAGATATGAGGTCATGGGTTAGTGATAGGCCAGGCTTTGTCTCAAATAAAGGTCTGCGGTGGGAAAAGAACAGTCCAGGGGCACTCAGGATTCCTGTCAGGAGGGTGGCCTTGACCCGAGACCCGGGCGGGTCGGGCACAGCTGTGAGGGCCGAGTGGGTCCGGGCAGATGGGAAATGCAGACAGCTTGAGAGGCAAGAAAGCAGGCATGGTGCGGGGCGAGGCCCGAGAGGCCAGCCGCTGCTGGACCGGCCTTGGAGCACAGCAGGGGCTGTGGGAAGGTTAGGGAGGAAGGCGGGCCTGGCTGGTGGTTAGGACGTCTTGCATGCGGTACCCCAGCCGGGGTGGTGAACCTGCAGCACGTGTGCCGAAGCCTGAAGCAGGCCGTTTGTGTCCTTGAAAGCTCTAAGAGCTTCGCCAGCACTGCCCTGGTGCCTCCCACATTTGAATGGAAGAGAAGGCCGTGGCCACAGACCCTGAGTGCAGCCTTCTCGGTGTGCACTGCCACCCTTACTGCAGGCCTTCTTGGAGCACCAGCCACGGTGCTCTGTCACTCAGAGCAGGAGATACCGGGAGAAGGTAGAGCACTCCCCAGACTTTGCTGGCCTGGGAAACTTGTAGGGAGCACTTTGGAAGACCTCGGTTTGGTGGCCCCCACCTTGGCGAACAGAGACTGCTCATGGGGACCGTGGAGTGGGTCAGCTCAGAGTTGCATTCAGGCGAGGCCGTGCCGTGCATGCATTTCCGAGCCCTGCTCTCTGTGTCCCTCCGCTGCTGCGTTTCCCATCTGCCCAGCTCTCCAGAAGGAGCGTGACCCTGCCCGGGGGTAGGACTGGGGAGCGGTTTGTGGGGCTTGGGGCTCTCTCCACATCAGAACACCCCCAGGGGCCCCAGTCCTCAGCGTCCGGTTTGTACAGAGTGCCTGGCGGTGGTGACAGAGCCCTGCACCCCTGCACACACGTGGGAGGCCGGGGCTGTTGCATGGGGTCCAGCGGTGGGTGAAGGTGCTGGGCCCGGCAGCGTGCAGTGGCCGACGTTTTTCTCTTGTGCCATGCCGTGCACTCAGGCAGTGAGGTGAGGCACAGCGCTGCTCTGCTCTGCCGCCTGTTAGAGGCTGCTGCTCACTTGCTCCAGAGGGTAGAGGCCGCTGCTCACTTGCTCCAGAGGGTAGAGGCCCTTCCCACCAGTGGGGCTTCTGACTGCTCTCTGTTCCTGTCCCTCTTTTTCTGTTTTGTTTGTTTGATTTGGGGTTTTGAGACCGGGTCTATGTAGTCTACAAGCCTCCTGCCTCACCCTCCCCGTGACAGGTTTACAGGCGTGCACCACGTCAGCACATCAGGCTGGGAACTCTTTTGTGTTGTATGGTTTTGTTTTTATGGGCCTGGGGCTTGAACCCAGGGGCTTTACACTGAGCTACCCCCTACCCCTTTTTATCACATTCCTGCCAGCTTGAACTGCTGGCGATACAGGTGTGACTGTCCCATTGGGTGGCTTTTTATTTTATTAGTAAAAAGACTGCTAAGTTATTAGATCCGTTTATACCACCAGTGGGTACAACCTGCCTGATGGGACAGTCATGCATGTCCTGTGGGGCTCAAACATGCAGTCCTCCTGTCTCAGCCTCCTAGAGTGCTGAGATTTCAGACATGTGTCACCACACCCTGCTGAGCCTCTAGTTCAAGTCAGTAGAGCAGTGGCAGACGTGTGTCACTGGGATGTGCTGACACCTGGCGTGAAGCCGATGGGCAGCTGGAGCAGGCCCCCCAGTGCTGAGAGATGCCCCCGACACAGGTACCTTGGCCAATGGCCAGCAGCCTCTGCAGCACCCTTGGGGCTTGCTGGGGCCTCTGTGCCTCTCAGCAGAGGAGACTGTTCTTAGTTGGCATCTTTGGGGCACCACAGAAACTCCCACGCTGCCCAGGGCCCATCTCCCGCTCAGCCCAAACCCTGGCCTGGCCCTCCAGGAGCCGAGTAACTCCGGCCCTCCCTGGTGGGGAGGAAAGGAGGTGCTCTGGATGTGCGTGGCCTGCGAGTCCTTCTGGGACCGCCTCACCCGCTAGATCTGGGCCTACCCCTCCCCTCAGGGCCGGGGGTGGTCACAGAGGCTTTCTCTTGTTTGTTTTTAACTGTTTGAATTGGCAAAACATTCACTTGGCTGAAAAATAAAACTTGTATGTAAAGAGGCACAAGGTGAAAGCCTCGGTCAGGCCCACCTCCCCTCCCTCCTGGGGACGTTGCTGTTTCTGTTTGTTTTTTGTGTGTATTTACAGTTTACTGATGCAGGTCAGTGTGACTAAGTATGTTCAACTTTGCTTCCTTTCTGTTCATCAGAAGGTCAAGAATTATCTTAAGAGCTTTTTGGAAAGGAACCAGTAGTTATCACTCTGGGAGAGCCACAGACTTTTCCTTAGAAACTCTGCTCCTTGGGCCTGGTTCTGTGAAGCACTTGGGGCCACCAGCAGGCACTACAGCGGGAGCAGACCCATCGCCCGCTCAGCCCACGAGCCTGAGCGTCTCACAGGTCTCTGTGGTGCCTGCACCCTCCTCTCTGCCTTGGACAGGGCAGGGCCCAGCCCCGCACAGCCAGAATGGAGCCCTAAGTTGAGGCCTGAGCTGTGGAACGGAGTTCTAAAGCAGCTGCAGGCCCTCGCAGTGGTTACTTCCTGTTCACCACACACTGCTTTTCCTACCCGGCTCTGGAAAGCCCTGCGGTAGCGATGCACCAGCTCTGCCTCTAGGAAGCGACGGAGCCCGAGTATGGCAGAGAGGGCGCTGCAGCCGGGGCTTCCCAGGACCTGGAGGCGGGCAGGGCGGTCTTGCCACTGGCCTTCCAGGCAGGTCCTTCTGCCTGTTCTAGCTCCGTTTGGGCTTTTGTTTTGTTAGTTTTTTTGCTTTCGTTTTTGTTCTTTGGTTTGGTTTGGTTTTGTGTGTTTGGGGGCTTTTCTGATGCAGGACTCACTGTGTTGCCCGGGCTGGTGTAAATCTCCAGGGCCCAGGCGACCGTCCCCAAGTAGCTGGCACTGCAGGCAGGGCCGCCGGACCCAGGTACGTCCCAGGTACGTCTTCGGCTGTTTCTCCACTAAGGAGCTAGGATGAAAGGGGGGTTGCCGGGCTTCCCAACCTGGATGCTCCTCTTCCAGTACACACCGCACCCAGACGTGACAGCACCAGGCTGGAACGCCTTGTGCAGGATCCAGGCTGGCAGCTGCTGCTACCCGGCTCCCCTCTCTGGCCTCTATTTGCCAAGTGCCTCTGGTCTGGGCGTCACGCTGCTGGCACCTGAGCTGTGGCTTGCTGCGTCCTCAAAGGAGGTCGTGGAAGGGGGGCAGTGTGGGCCTGGGGGCCGCTGAGCAGTGGGCTTGTCAGGATGAGCCTCCCCAGGGGAGCGGCCGAGCTGAGCTGAGCGGAGCGGAGCCCAGGCATGGCTGGGCTGAGGCGCACCCTGGCGGCCCGGGTTGGGGGCAGGCGTCCGTGCCACCCGCGTCCCCTCAGCGCTCGGTGCAGGGTGCCCGGCAGGCCAGGCCCCTCTGTGGGCCCCATGCATGGCCCTCACTGCCTCTTGCTTCTTGCAGGAAAATCCCGCCAGTGCCCAGCAGCCCATCGCCGCCGGTCTCGGCACGCGTCCCTCACCGGCCGAACTCCGTGCTGACATCCCAGTGCGGGGCCGGCTATCCCGCGGCCGCCACTGTCTCCGCGTCCCCCGCGCTGCTGTCGCCCGCCTGCACCTCCCCGAACAGCAAAGCGGTACCGGCTCACGGAACCACGCTGAACGTGCAGCCCGCCGCCTCCGGGGCGGTGGAGCCCGCATGCGGCGCGCAGTCCAGACAGGGCTGCTCCTCCTCCTCCTGCTCCTCCTCCTCCCCGCCCGTGCCCGTGCCCGTGCCCGCGCCCCTCTCCTCAGTGCCCCCCTCCCCCATGTCCAGGAAACCTCCCAAGTTGAAATCCTGCAAGTCTGTGAGGCCCAGGGAGTCTCCTGCTATCGGCACTAACTGTCACAGCGCCAGTAGCAGCAACAGTGGCGGCTCAGGAAAGAAACGCAAAAGCAGTTCCCCACTGCTAGTGCATCCTTCCTCCTCCTCCTCCTCCTCCTCCTCCTCCTCTTCCTCTTCTCATTCCATGGAGCCTTTTAGGAAAAACTGTGCGGCTCACTCCGGGCCTCCCTACCCGTCCACAGTGACCTCCTCCCACGGCCTGGGCCTCAACTGCGTGGCGAACCGTGCGCACGTGGGGAGCCTCCGGCCTGAGCAGTCAGGGAGGGCCCCCCCAGGCGGGAGCCCTACAGAGGCCATCAAGCGCATGAGCGTGATGGTGAACAGCAGCGACTCCACGCTCTCGCTGGGCCCGTTTGTGCACCAGGCCAGCGAGCTGCCTGTGAACTCCCACAGCAGTTTCTCCCACTCCCACACTCCTCTGGACAAGCTCATGGGCAAGAAGAGAAAGTGCTGCCCGGGCTCGAGTAGCATCAACAACAGCAGTAGCAAACCCACAAAGGTTGCCAGACTGCCAGCCATGAACAACGTCCACATGAAACACACAGGCACCATCCCTGGGGCACAAGGACTGATGAACAGCTCCCTCCTCCACCAGGTAGGAAACGGCTGCACGCCCCCTGGGAGGGATGCCCTGTGCCTCTCCCTTGGACCTGTTACCTGCTTACAAATCTGTGTGCCTGGGGTAGTTGATTTGCCTGTGAACAGCCGCTTCGAGGTGTCTTCTAAAAAGGGGAAGAGTCCGCGGTGTGTGAAGGTAAAATAGCCTGTGCAGAATTTCTGATGCCTGTCAAAGACTCCGGGTACAGAAGCCGGAATAATGCCCTGAGCAGATGGGCCGAGGACAGGCCTGGCCACGCGGCGGCAGGGCCAGCACCGGAGGTGGGTGCCGGCCCAGTGCTGTTGAGGGAGCAGGCAGATGTTCCTCTGCAAGCTGGGCCTCAGCCCAGGGGCCTAGAAAGAGATGAGTTCAGACCGCGAGCAAAGCTTGTCGTGTTGTCCGCGTTGAGCAGTTTCAGATACTCTGGTCAACTTCACCTCAGGTTCTCTCCTCCCTGTTTTCAAGGGAGGTGGCAAATGGTTTGCTGCGGCCATAACTGAAGGCTAAACCTCATTCCAAGTCAATAGTTTAGAAAGCAGACTGCGGGTCGCTTAGGAGCAGCTGAGTGGATGTCGGAGTCACGTTGAGGCGCGGCTTCCCTCCTGCGCCGTGGCGTGGCCTGGCCTGGCCCGATCTTGAGCTTGCTGCCTGCCAGTTCTCAGGGCCACAGGCATCTTCTCCAGCCTCCTTTGCTCTGACTTCCAGCTCACCTCTCCTGTTGGGGTCTCGCTCACCAGGGTGCCGCCTCACCTTGTTCACCACAGGAATTGCAGGAGCAGCACCCCAGAGCCCTGACTGAAAACGTGAGGCTCTTTTCTAACGTCTTTTTCACCCTTCCTTATTTTCAGAACCTATCTCAGATGCCACATTAGCCATTTTTTAGAAAATACCACGTAGTCCTTTACCGTTGTAACTTCCCTCTGATACTTGTTTGAGATAACAGTATGTCAAAAGTATGGGGAAAACAACTGTGAATTTAAGTAGCTGCTTAAATTATAAGCTATTAGTATAGTGTTTGGGTTTTTAAAAGCAGGGTTCTTGGAAAAATGCAAATTGTGGTGTACAGTAAGTCCCCGATTTATGAACATTTGAGTTGCAAACTTTCACAGGTGTACGGTGTAAGACTCACTTTGTCAACTTAGAAACTAATCCAACTGGCAGGGACCTTGTTCGTTAAGTCGAGGACTTACTATACTTCTTGTTTTATAGTTACTCAGTATAGTTTGGTGGTCGCAAAGCTATGGCACGTGTGCCCCAGTGGGCCATTTGTATCATGAAAAGGTTCGCTGTTCCCGGATGGCTCATGATAAGCCTAACAGCAGCACCTGCGCTCCAAGCTCCCTGTGAGTGTAGTGCCCGACACACCTGGCCCCACCTCCGGGGTTGTCCTGCCCATCCCGCATTTGTGTCACTGCACACAACCATGGCTCCAGACAGCAGTGGACACAGTGAACCCTTGACCTACGAACTCACTTTGTTCACGAGGGCTGGTTATAACTCAAGGTGGTCAGTTGAAGGCCCAGGCTCCTCCACACAGCCTTCACAGTCTCTCTCCTGTACACAGGCAGATCTCAGGGTCCTTAGAGAGACACTGGCCCAGGATTTCTCAGTGAACCCCACACAGGAAAGGATGCTGTCATGTTCCTGCCAGCACTCTTTAAGGGTTAACTCTGTATCTGAGACCCTCTGGAAGCACAAGCAGCCGGCATTCGGGATGTAACTCAAGACTTGGGTTGTAGGCGAAAACTAAAATTCTGGTCATATCCCATGGTATGTGTTTATCTGGCTGGTTATAAGTCGAGGGTCCACTGTACTCAGCTGCCCCAGGTAACGGGAAGGATGGCTGAGGTGGCAGCGAAGGGCAGGCCAGCAGAGTGGTTCAGTCCCTCCGGGAGACCAGGGCAGAGTCCCATCTGCAGGAGCTCTGCTCCCAGACCCTCCTGTTAGCAGTTCTAAAGGGAAATGCACACCTGGACGTGTGGGTACAGTTCAGCCATTGTTAGGGCATGTATATGATGTGTTTGTTTCTAATGTGGTGCAGTCCACATGCCTTGAGGCCAGGCTTGGACTTGTGACCTGCCAGTTTGCCACCTCTGACTTTCACCGTCCAGGAGGACCGTGTCCCACTAGAAGGACCCACATCATCTTACTGTGGGTTCTTTCCCTTCAGTTTGTGTTGGAGAAGTGCCTGTGCACACCGGAACACTGTTTATTATGCTGGGAAGCTGAGGGGTGGGGTCGAGCAGGCCCCCGGCACCAGCCCTCTACCACCACGCATGCGCGTCAGTGAGCCACTGCCAAGCCCAGGCTCCCGGCCCCGCCTCCAGGGCACCGCGTGGGTGTGAGCTGTCACACCTGTGTGTTCCTGCCCGCAAGTAACCTTGTTTTTCTTTCACGTAACAACCTGGTAAACCTTCAAGGACACAGAATCAGAAAGCAGAACCCAAAGGCAAACACCAGTCTTTTTCTAAACTGGAAAACCAGGCCCACGTCGCTTCTAGCCAGTTTTCCGAAAGTAAATCTCGAAAGCCGTGTCCAGGGGCAGTGAAGGCCAGGGAAGCTCAGGCCACGTTCTGCAGCTGGCTGCCCAGCCTCACCCTCACCCTCACCCTCCCTCGTGGAGCTGTAATTATGCGGGCTGTTCTTGTTTAGAACCGGCCGGGCCGTATACAGCTGCTTGCTTATGCTTCATTGTTTCCCCACCCCCTCTTATTTTGAAAGCCAAAGGCACGTCCCTGACTGCTGGGAATAGCCGGAGGAGGAACAATCCGGACACTTTCGAGGACAGGCTACACCTCCACTCAGCACTCTGGACTCCGCAATGCCTTTGAGTCTCTTCCAGCCTCCTTGGCCTCAAGGGTGCCTGCTAGGCAGTTGTTTCCCAAGGACCTCCCGGAGCTCTGTCCGTGGCAGTGAGTACCCTAAAGGACGCTGGATCAGGTCAGCCACCGATGGCTTTTGTCAGTGTTGTGTCTGGACCGCTTGCCTCCGGTCTGTGCGAAGTGGTGGTTTTGTGTGTTGTTAACCTGCAGTACATCGTGGAGCGGCTCTTCGGGTTGAGGGGCGGCTGGGCACAGGAGCGTTTGGGCAGGGCGGTGCTTCAGAGCCTCCTTCTCCTTCTCCCTCTCCTGCCGACCTCTTTCCACACTGTCGTCTGTGGGGTGTGCTCCGGCAGGTGGGCCCCTCAACTCTGGAGCCCCGAGACCTTGCAGAGGGCCGAGCTGCACGGGTGTCCGCAGCACCGTGGGCTCCGTGCCGGCTGTGAGGACTGAGCCGCCGAGCCCTTGCGGGTGATGTGCAGCAAGGCGCTGCCAGGCTTGTAAACTTCCAGACTGCTCTGAAGCCACCGAGGCCCGGAGGCTGACTTTTCGTGGGACAGAGCACTTCTGTGTGGTGGCTTAGGAAAGGACCGTGCAGACTAGTTGTGATGATGGAAAGCCAGCCTGGGGAGCATCAGGGCAGCAGGGTGAAATCACAGAGGGGCTTCTTCAAGACTTCCAAAGAGATGGCATTTTTATCCTTTAGGTTTTCATGTTAAACAGTATGTCAGATTGGGTCGACTGTCCTACCCAGTCTTTTTTTAAGAATTGCCTTTTTAAAGTGAAGTTATTAGGGTGTACCTAAATATTTCCAAGGCATTCCCCCTTGCCTCTTCGGACACTGTTGGCCGGAGGCCGCCTCCTGCAGTCCTCCTGGCTGTCGGCCCCGAAGCCGTGGTGAAGGGTGAAGGGGGTCTGCATGTGGATCCGAGGGAGCTGAGTGGGGCCTGGACCTCGCAGGGCACCCACAAGGGGCGGGCGTCATGGGTGACCCTCGCCTTTTCTAGGGATCCGTCCGCGTCTTCCTGGTAGTGTTCTGGAGCCGCCCGGGATGTTCCCGCAGCGCCCCACGCGAGAGCAAGCTCCCGAGTTAGACGGGCCGAGCCGCCACCACCGCAGCTCCCAGGCTGAGGCCAGGCCCTCTTCAGAGAGGCCGGGTGGCTGAGCACAGGGTCAGAGTTCAAGGCTCGGGCCCTTGCCCCGGACGGACCTGGTCAGTGCAGCCTTTTGCCCTACAGTTCCTGGGTTACAGACTTGTTTCAGGGAATTTCAAGTCAACAACAGGTAGAATGAATAAATACTTGGTTACCAGCCTAATAATGTGAATTGCTACAGAATTATTCTTATTATGTAAGAAAACAAAGACTTTATGCAGATACTTTAGCTATAAATTGATGTAAAATATTGATTTTTCTTTAAGGAAGGGGTGAACAGTGTCTTGCTCACTTATTATGCAATCAATCAGTAAATGTTTTTTTAAAAGATACTATGTGAGAGCTAGTAAGGAGAGATCATGCATGGATGGCCAGTTTGATGTAGTTAGGAGAAATCAGTCTGGTTATTCCATCCCAGTGTGGGAGAGGGGGGTGAGAGGGAATCAGGACGTACTTAGTCGATTCCTTGGTAACAAGTGCAATGGGTAGGGGCAGAACTTACTTTCAGAGCCAAGGGGACTTGATGGTTATAAATTAAGTTGTTTTTAGCGACGGGATTTATAAGCAGATCATGTTGCAAAAGCTGTGACTAGGACCCATGATGGCAGGCTGATTCAGGGTAATGTAGATGCTTAGACTAGCAAGTGCTGATCATTTGATTTCTTAGGCTGAGGTTTTAATTGAATTTCATTATGTCTCCCGGTAACACACACAGCATCGGGATTAGGAAATTAGCCATTTTGGATTCTGCCTGCCACAAACAGACCTATTCTAACAGTGCTATTAAATTTTAGACTGTTCAAATATTTTATTTTCTCCAACAACTACTTTTTATTATGATGCGCAATTAAGACCACTTAAAAACACAGGAGTACAAGTATTTTTTTGAATTAAATTTACTTACAAAACCAAATTTGCAGTGGTTGGGTTGTTTCTAGACAGACTTTGGTATCCATTTAAAACCAAGATAATTTTTATATTCTTTCCAATAGAATTTCATGACAACTTCTGCAGTTTTCTTAACCTACAAAAAAAAGTGCTGCAATGATGAACAAAGAATTATACAGAACCTACTTTTGTATCTTTATTTTGGGATTTCTTGTTCTATTATAAATATGGAAGTATCCCTATTTCAGAAGACATATTTTGTTAAAAATGAATTGTACATATTTAAATATGTATTTTTGCACAGGTCTTTTTTTCTGATATCCTGTTTTGGTACAATTGAGATCATCTAGTATTTATTTATTAATTAATAAAAGTAAATACCTTTTTATAATTTGAAGTGGTTCACTGCCAAGCCGATAGTCCTCGAGCCTGCCGCCTTTTCGTTTAAGGGATGCCTCTGTCCTGTGAGAGTCTCCGTCCCTTTCCGAGTCCTGGAAGTGGACTTGTGCAGGTGAAGTGGGCATTGCTTCTCCCAGGTTGCTGATTTCCCAGTAGACTACATGGAACTAAGTGACACACTGCTTTTCTTTTGTTAGTGTTGTGTATGGAGTGTATGATTGTGCGTGTGCGTGTGCGCCTGTGTGTGCACTGAGTGCGTGTATGTTAAGAGTATGTGATGTGGTTTAAAACTAATGGAAAAAACTGAAAGTGCCTGAACCTAGTTTTAAGCTTAGACCGATTCTCTTTAAAAAGACTTGAATGTTCAGTTGAACTTTTGGAGTTTGCTTTTCCCACCTCAATATTGTTTCTAAAATTTTAGGGGACGAGTTGAAAAGCACCCGTGCTGGTGACTCTGTAAGGCGTTTTATAGTTCCGACCTTTTGGCTCGCAGTACTTAGCTGGTGACAGGCTGCCTAGTAGCACCAAGGGCTCAGAGCTCCTGTCAGCCAGCGGCTCACACTGTCTGTCCTGTTATTCACGCATGAGATACTGAGCTTAAAGAGAATATCAAATATTTTGTATTCCAAAAATATAATACAAAGAAGTACCTCTGAGAACACTGAAAACAATGTGTAATTTTTAAAATGTAACCGATAAAGGCAGCTGTCTTCCTGCAAGAGAGTTCTGTTGCCAAGGAATTTCTTAAAGTCTCATTCTGTCCCGGGGTGGGGGGTGGACTTTGAAAAATGATTGTTAAAAGTTTCATTGTTTAGAAGAAAATCATTTTTACATTTTGTGCAAAACATTTTACATTGTCAGATCATTTAAATGAGCACTACATACTGTCAGTGTGAATGTAGGGCCTTGAAAGCATTTTGCTGTTTTTGAGCTTGGTTCTAAAAGCAATCTCCTGTGTTGAAATGTGTGAATAGTTTGATAATTTGTACACATAATCAAGAGCATCTCAGCTGGACTTGTGTTGGCTGCTGTATAGAACATGAACAAATGTCAAGGGATAGAAAATTACTTTGGATATTTAAAAGAGAAATATATAGTCTATTTGTTTTGTAACAAGTTTCTGTAAATAAAATAATTTATACTATTTATAAGAAAAAGTTGTGCTTTGCTTTCTGAGAAATTAGTTTGTGGAACAAACATGTTACTAAACGGGCAATAAAATTAGGACTTGTCAATAAACAAGGCTGGCTGCATGAAGTGTTTGCCCCGTTTCCGCCTCGCTGTGCCGCTCAGCCTGCTCAGTGTAGTTGGGCCCCTTTCTACCCCGGGTCAGACACCCGGGAAGCACCTGTCGGTCCTGTCCCACACCAGCTCCTAGCCCCGGCTGTTCTGGGCTCCGCCTCCAGGTAAGTGAATGACCACCACCGAGCACTGCTGTTCTGGCCGCAGGGACGAGACGAGTCTCAGGTACAGCTGAGAGAGACACACCCTGTCTGTTCTTGCTGTTTGTAAATCTGAAGACGTGGCCAGGGCGGGTTAAACTGTTCTGTTCTGTTGGTCCAGGGCCGGTCTAACCTCTTCCTTGGCTTTTATGTACCTCCCTTCCTGGCAGTACAAGTGCATTTTAGTATTCAGAGTGCAAGATACTCTTCTGTCTCTAGAAATCTGGCTAGCTTTTTGCCATCTGAAAGTAAATCGTTCTACATCTTTCGGTTGCTTAAAATAAGAGAAGCAGCTGCTCTGTGCACTGGAAAAGAGGTCCGTGGGTTACCGGCCTCCACCCCGCCCACTGCCTGAGGACAGGTCCTTGGCTGGGAGCGTCCCCACTCCTTCATCTCCTACCCTGGTGACTTCCCTTCCCTTGCAGATAACCGGGCCCTGGAGCGCGAAACCATCGCAGTTCAAGCAAGGGGCCTGGCAGTCTGGGTCTTGACACGTGGGATTTCCCCAGCAGATGGGCAGGCTGCGGTCGTCCTAGGATGGAGGTGGCAGGAAAGGTGGGAGTGATTCTGCATGAGACTGGCCGGCACGAGGGGCTGGCAGGGTCGGACGGCTGGTGGCAAGGGCCTTCGCTCTCAGGGACATCTGGGATCGCACTTGGACTGCCCAACGAGGCCATGGGCGCCTGGAGGTGCCCGATGGTCCAGCCCCGCACTGCACTGCGCAGTGGCGGGGAGTGAGCGCTGCTCCAGGCTGCAGTGCAGAGCAGTGGGGAGGTCGCACCCTGAGGAGGTACAGGTGCTCTCTACTCACTTGAGGGTTTGCAGTTTTTCGGCTCAGAAAGCTTTACCCCCTCAGGTCCTCATCAGCATGCACTCGAGCCTGGCGAGGCCTCCTTCTCCTCCTCCTCCTCACTGTTTCAGTCTTTCCTCCTAAGAACCGTGATCTGTTGCTCATGGCAGGGAATCCGACGCCTCTCACCTTGTAGGGCTGTGGTCATGACTAGGCGTGTTACTTCACTTCCTGCCAGCCAAGCCCACGCTGTGCATCTTTTAGGAGACTCAGCCAAAATTTCCAGGAGGAAGGGGAGAATTGAACGCTTTGAACTAGTGCCTTCCTGAAAAATGTGCTTCACGTAGAGCATTCCAGTAACTGGCCCATAGCATGGGCAGGCGAGAACCTGGGAACAAAAGCCAGAGCTGTTGCAGTGCAGCTAAGAGCCAGTCAGTTGACAAGCAAATGTGACCACGCGGGGAAGAACTGATTCCAGGAACTGTGAGGCAGAACCAGGCTTTGAGGTCTCACTGCACTGAACGCTAATGGGAGGAGCGAGTCTGAGATGGCTTAAGAGTTCTAGCACGGAGAAATGTGTGACATGGTAATGGAAGGAAAGACATAACGGGTTTGTGTTTGCTGGTGGGAAGTGCAACTCTAGTACCTAGTCAGCTGTAGGGTCTGACTGGAGCTTAGGAGGGGCTTGTGCTGTAAACAGAGATGGAACTTCCACTTATAGATGACGAACTAAGTGGGCGTAACCTTGGAAAGATACGGGGCTATTATATTTGGCTTATTTTTATGATGCAGTAGTTACTTGCAGGTCCTTGATGTGCTAGATGTTGTGCCAAACATGCTACATGTATTCTGTCTCACAAGAAGCCACCCCATTATGGGGCGTTGAACCCAGGACGTTGCCTTGAGCTATGCTCCCAGACCTTTTTAGAAGACACGGTCCCACTCCGGTGCTCAGGCTGGGCTTGAACTTGTGAGCCTCCTGTAGGCAGGTGTTTCAGTCCCAGTCACCCCTGTGGAGGTGTTTCTCAGAAGGTAGCTTACCTAAGATCCTGAAACTAGTATGTGGCAGAGTCGGGCTATGAATTCAGGACTGAACCTTTGTATTTTTTGGTCACCTGACTGAGGCACATGCACACTGCATGTAATGTTCCACTTAGGATTTCCCAAACCTCCAGCCCACCCTCCACGGCAGAGAAAGGAACCCCCAGCACAGAACCCCGGGAGCGTACTTGGGAGAAGGCAGGTGGGGAACCGGCACTAGAATAAAGCGTCAGAGAGGGAAGGGTGTGCAGGGGAAGGTGGGACAGAGCAGTCGGGAGTTCGCACCACTGTGACCAGCCCACTCAGTCGTTTTCCTCCAGGATAACAGGACCAGCAGGCACTCGCTGGGTGGACAAGTTAAGAGCTCAGGCAGGGGCACTGCCAAAGAACTGACCATGCGAGTGAGGATGTGACGTGACTGGAGGAAGAGAACCAGGAGCCCTGCAAAGTCTGTCAGGCACTCCCAGGACAGACTGGGCTGGAATTACCTTCTGAAGTTGCGTGATCCTCTGAGTCCATAAGCCATTTGTTCAAGGTCACAGAGGTCTGCTCAAGTCAGTAGAGCCAGCCACACGGGGACTAACGTGCAGTGCAGGATCCCGGGGCCAGAGCTATCGGGGTGGCACAGGACTTCTAGGAATAGGCCAAGGGTGGTCCACAGGGTGAGAGGGTCTGAGTGGGCTGGAGGTTCAATTTTCAAAAGCAGGGTGCTGGTGCTTCCAAAGCAAGAACACAGCCGTGGAGGAGCAGCGCAGGGGAGGGCACTGTGAAGGCTGCGTCACTGTCTACAGGTGACCTGCTTCAGAGCGCCCAGGGTTCGGGAGAGCCTGGGGTGCTGAGCAGAGAGCTGGCTCCGCTGCAGTCTCGCCTGGCGGTCGCGCCCCTGGGACATCTCAGGCCAGGAAGGCTATGTATTGGTGATGACCACACTGGCAGGCTGTCCACTTACTTCTTACCCAGTTGGTACAGGGAAAGTTAGGCTGCCGCAGCAGACTTCTGAATCAGATTAACTCCCACCTCTGACCCTACACGTCAGAGAAGGTGGCTTGGACCGGACTGTGACAAACTCCATTTTTTGCATGTCTGCAGGAACAGAATGATGTCTATCTGTGGTTCTGTGGCTTGGAAACTACAGCTCACAGCTTCCAGAGCTGTTCCTGTTCCCCAGACAGGGTCTGAATGTCACTCCCTGCAGCCCTGAGGAGCTGTGGGGGTTACTAATTACAAACACGGAGCGCTGGGATGCAGTGCACCACTGTAGCCCTCCCGGTCCCCAGCCCATAACTGTGGGCAGATAGACACCCGCTACTCGTCCTCTTTAAGGGTACTGGCACCAAGGGTTGATTCGGAGTATGAAACTGTCGATGGATTTGTTCATGGCTAGTAACCTACTGACTGTTTACTGCTGGTCAGGTTACTACGGGCTGAGCACGTTTGGTTCTAAGCAATAGTGTGCCCGAGTCCCCTGTAGGCATCCTGTTGTCACGTGGGTCAGGGGTGAGCAAAAACGGACTTTAGACTGTGTTCATATTCCTAAAGATTACTCTAGTCACTATGTTAAAAACTCATCCAATGCTGTTATTGATAGAGCAAAAGATTACCATAATTTGATATAGCTTTTAGGTATTTCTCTTACTGGGTAAGTATACTTGTTAAGTCAAAATTTTGTTGAGGGAAGAAAAGCTAGTCTTACTGTAAAAAATAATCACAAAAAGCACCCTTTCAATGATCTGTACTAGGAGAGGTGTTGTGACTGAGCCCGGGGTCGGTACAAAGGTGAGGCAGTGTCCTGGATGCCAGCCAGGTCTGGCTGGCTGGGCGGGCCCTTCCTCACTCCGAAGCTGGGTGTTCGCTCGCTCCACCTGCACCCCACTCCAGAGGAGCCAGAGCCCTCAGGAAGGGGAGGGTAGCTGCTCTCGGCTACAACCTCCAGGCGAGCTCTCAAGATTAAGTTTCTTAAGAAAACATTCACCATTATGAAGAGGGAACTAAATGCAATTGTCTTAGCTCTGTGCTACTTGGCAAAGGAAAACTATCTCGGGTTCTAATCTTATTTTACTCTTTACTCCTGGTTTGACTAAAACCAGAAAAGCTAAGGCTTTCACATGACAACACATATAACAAGCCCAGAGCCAGGACGAAGAACCCTGGCGGGATCTGGTAGCCGATTCCCCAGAAGGTTGCTGGCTGCCATCCGGTGTGCAGTCCTGAGGTGACAAAGCCAGGGGACAGCAGGAGCCGGGCCGACCGGCAGTTCCTGGGGTGCACCAGCAGGTACATGCGGGGCGCTTAGCTGGACATGGCAGGAGTCCAGGGCGGCCGCCTCTGCCCATCTTTCTAGAGGAACTACATACGTGATTTCTAAGATGTTCTCAACGTTTGGATGGTGGCCATAAATTTATTTTCTTCAAGGAAACATATCTGGAGGCCTGGAGGGGCTAGCTGCTGACTGTCGGAGCCAGTTTGACCCCCCTCTGCTTTCCCAGCTTTGATTTTCTGTGGAAAGTAGGGCTGTGCACCTAGCGCATCCTTGAGAGACATTGTCAGATTTAAAATACTGCAATTAAGTGGCCAAAAGGCAGAACCACCAAGGGTTGTAATTACTGTTCTGTGTAGTCTTACTTCCATAAAAACCTGTTAAAAACATAAATTTAATGAAGCCAAATTTTAAGTCTAAAATTCTGTCAGTCCTGTAACCTTGGGCACAGTTCAGTCATCTAACGATCAGTCAACAGCTTTCTATAAGATCTCATCAGCACAGTCAGAAACGCACGTTTTTGTATACTGCTGAACAGTCTGTAGTGGTTTTCCCATAAACGGACCACCTAACAGCCCACCGATAGCCCATTTTACAGACGAGGCAGCGCGGTGGGGAGCGGGGACTGGGGTGGGACTTCTCCAGCTGCGCCACCTGGGGGCGCTGCCTCCCCTGCTTCTGCCTGTGGATCCCATTCCAGCTTCCAGACTGGTGCTGAGGCCTGAGTATGCTGCTGGGAACTGGAGCTAGCACAGTGAGTCTTGAGCAGTGTGTAACAAGGGCACCAAGGAGCAAATACAGAGAATAGCCATCAAGATGTTAGTAGTGGTCATCTCTGCAGGGGCAAGTTCCGAGCAGTTTCACTTTAACTACTTGAATTTCTTTTGCTATGAGCATATATTACTGTTAACAACAACAAAAAAATTAGCTCCCCACAAAGTGGTATTGTTTTTGCTTCATCATAAGGTAAAAGTTGTTCTTAGTCGATCTTCATCACCAGTCTGGGACTTCTCAGCTTCCTGTTTCTCTCAGCATCTCTCATCATCCTTATTTTCAGCAGATGGGCAGAGATGGATGGATGGACAGACAGAAGACATATCCAAGCACATTTTAAGCCAGAAAAGAGAAAAAGCCTTCAAGACCTTCCCCTACAGCCATGTTAAGTTTCAGCCCTGACAGAAAAGCCATGGTTGCTGTGACCACTTCAGGCCAAATAGTGACTGAGTGGGAGTTGAGGAAAAGGAGATATTTCATAAAGCGGACATTCAGCTCTGCACAGTGGTGCACATCTGTACCCGGACAACCTGGGAGACTAAGGTGGTAGAATCATAAAAAAAAGTTGAGCTGCAGTCAATTCCTTTTTTTTTTTTTGGTGCCGGGGATCGAACTCGGGTCCTTGCACTTGCGCAGCAGGCGGTGAAACCACTGAGCTAAATCCCCGGCCCTACAGTCAATTTCTTAAAAACAGAATTTTGCTAATTCTGAAAAAACTGTTTTGTTTTTTGAGACAGGGTCTCACTGTGTAGCCCAGGCTGGCCGCAATCCTCCTGCCTCAGCTGCCCAAGTGCTGTGATTGCAGGTGTTCACTACACCCAGCATCTCTGACCCTTTCTAATGGACACAGGAACACAGTGTCCAACAACCACCTGTTGGAGTTAACAGACTCTACTCGCTGATTTTTAGGGCCTGAGGTCTTGTTAACAGCACTTATATTCACCATTCTTTCAAGAAATTCTAGTGACCACTGACAATGCTTTACAGATCCACACTTGCAGATCTACAGGTGGCTCCCCTCAACTGCTTCAGGGGTACTGACTATATCCAACTGAAAGCCTCCCGCCCACCACAGTGCCTCCAAGAAACCCCCGCACACGCTCTCCTTAGACTCCCGTGGCCTCTCACGCATGCTCACCCACCGCTGCCTTTTCAGATAACACCTTCAAGGGCCAGGGATGTAGCTCAGTGGTTCCGGTGCCTGCCTCAAAAGCGCAAGATCCTGAGTTCGATCCCCGGTACCAAAAAAGAAAAGATAATGGTTCTAATGCATTTTTTTTTTTTTTTTTTGAAACAGGGTCTCACTATGCAGTTCAGGCTGGCCTTGAACTCATGATATAGCTGAGGCTAGACTCGAACTCAGTGATTCTCCTGCCTCAGCCTCCAGAGTACTGGGATTATAGCCACACATCACCAGGCCCGCCTAATGCTATCTGATATTTTGTTTGCAGTAGACCTTTGAAATCCTAAGCTGTTATATTTACTTTACTGAAGAGTTTTATCACAAGGAAATGCTAAATGTTACCAAGTTATTTTCAGTCAAATGACGTGTTTATGTTGATGGATCGTTCCCACCAACAAAGGAGCATACTCTTAAACACCAGAAACCCTCTCTCCCTCCCGCCTTGTGCAGGAAAACGCTATTTCCCATGCTCTCTAACTTAAGCCAAAAGCCAGGCTCTCCCTTGCCTCCCAGCCTGTGCCGGCCATGTCTGACTCACTGAGTTACAAACTGGGAGACAAACCCGGGACAACTTCCAGATTTCTTCATTTTGTTACTATGGTCAGTCTGGTCCTATCTGGGGGGGGGAAAGCATTTTGCTAATACACAGGTTTTAAAAAGCTATGTTCAGTAAGTTACATTTTGGGATCTGTTATGCCAGCCTCCTGAAAAGGGCCACCGTCCTGCCAGTCACTTCTGCTGAAGCTCGATACAAACTTCATTTACCTTCTGCTCACTAAGCGGGTGACACTGCTGTGGGCCACTACAGAGCTCGGGCTCATCCTCCAGGGAGGCGGCCTAAGGTAAGAGGGCGGCGGGTGTGTCCTTGCCCTGTCTCACTGAGGCGGCCGGCAGGCAGGACCTAACCCGGGCACTGGTTACACCGGACCCCACACACGGGTGGGCACATGACGCGCTTCACCATGAATAACGCAAGTGTCAGCGTGTTAGCGCTGCTGGGTCCTGTCTTTAAAGGGATGTATTTTGAAGGAAAAAACCCCAAAGAAATAGCAATGTATTTATTTCATACAGTTGTAAAGGAAATCCTTTGTTTAAATGGTTTTACATATTAATCACTCTGGAAAGTTTCTGAACTCTGTTTAGCAGCAGATCTCCTTTCTTGATAGTTTCTTGGTACTGCCAGTTCTTGCTATCAGGTCTATAAATAAATTTTAAAAATTATTTAATGTCATATTTTTCCATGACAATAGCTGACCTACTTTCTAAAGAAGGTACTTAAAGTAACCCTTATTATGACAGTTTAACAAATACACAGAATTGAGAGTACCTGTTGGTTTCTACTATTTCATTCACTTTATCTATTTTGCAGTGTAGTCTTCCAGCAGCAATAAACCTGGACAGTTCCCTAAGTTAGAGAAAGGAAAAACTAAGCATTAGCCTCGTAAAGAATTCTTAGAAAAATACCGCACTTACACACACTGTCCAGCTCTCCGTCAAGGTGAGTTTCGTTCCAGCCTGAGCTAGTGCATGCACAGCAGCTGAGGCATCCCTGGCATCGTGGAGGATTTATCTGAGGCATCTACTCTGACCCTAAAGTTCACAGCAATGGAACGTGTGTCAAACAAACTGCTCAGCCACCTGTACAGCTACAGAAGTGCCCTGAAAAATAACGAGATGCTAGGAGAAAAATCTGATAAACCTGTGAACAAATACGCTGTTGCAAACAAAAGCCCCGTAAGGCCACTCTACAGCCAGCAGCGAGGCCCCAGGGAGCTGCCCCTTCCCCTCCTGCAGTGAGGGAGGAAATCTCCAGGTATCAAAGGAATTTAAAAGGAGGCCTTCTAGGTAACAGCTAGAGCCCCATGGTGCTTCTGCCTCTGACACTGCTCTTGGATCACAAAGGAAAAAACAAGCCTTTACTGGGATGCTGCGCAGAGCCACCGTGCATGAGCCCCCAGGGAACAGCTTGGCGGGCGAGTCTGTGAGTCCATGGCCCCGATCGACACACGCTTCTTCACCCACTCACAAAGACCACGTGAGTCCTGTGCTATGCATCCTGCCGGGATGGTGGCCACCAGGAGGGCATCCAGAAACAATAAAAATTTCTCTCCAAGGAAGAAAAGACATTTCTCACTAGGGGCTGGGGTCAGACCTAAGACCTGTGCACTGCACTGAATTAAGTTTCCCCTCAAACAAACTCACAGATATTTAGGGGTGGACGTTGGTGTCTGAAACCTGCTTAGAAGTGGTTACAAAAACATCAGCCTAAAAACTGGCAGGCATTATCAGAGAAAATATGCCAACTATAAATACATGAGGTTTAAGAGTCATCACTACAGTTCAGCGAGCTCCACAAAACAAGAGACCACTTTTGGTAACAACTGGTCCTCAAGACCCTTATAACCGCTAGCCAGTCAGTTACCTTCTCCATAACTTGCTGTCTCACCTGTCAATGGAGAGACTGAGGCGGGCACAGAGGACACACATGACTGCTTTGAGAATAGAGAAAAAGTTGTTTTCCCCCCTTAAATTGAAGGAAGCAATGCAAATGGGGAAATACAAAAATTCACACATTGAAAGGCAACTTGACAGCAGAAGTTAGCATGGTGCCATTTACACTTACTGGTCAATGAATTCCACGCCCACCCCGAATGCCTCAGCCATGTAGCCCAGGGTTAAAGAGCGGTAGGACTCCAGCAGTTGGCTGTAGGCGTGGATCCGCATTTCTCTGACATAGTATCGATAATGAGGCGCGAAAAGCCAGTCCTGTTTCATTTCCTGTTCCACAACCGCTGCAACAAACAAGGGGACAAGTTACCGACCTCCCTTTCAATAAACTGGAAACTTACACAAGCAACCGTCGGGGGCCCGGTGGCAGGTGGCAGGCAGGTGACCGAGCCAGTGGGCGCCTGCTGTCCTCGCCCGGGGCGTGTGGGGAGCGCAGGCCAGCTGCACATCGCGTCTCGCAGGGGCCACACACAGCCTGACTCTGGCCAGGGCCAGAACCGCTCCAAGAGCACTGAGCCCACAGAGGACAGAGTTCAGACAGCAGCAGCCTAACTAGGGCAACTTCTTGTACCCTAAGTAGAATACATTTTCACTCTCTCCTTTTGATCAATTGTAACAGAGAAAGAGCAGGTACAGTGACAAATGAAAGAACAGAAAGAGATAAATCAGGTATTTTCAAAAAGTTACAAAACACAAGCAATGCAGGGAAGTACCAATGAATCCTCCTGCCAGAAATGTAAATAGTTTAACAAAACAACTATAAGACTGGAAGGCGTATTATTTTTTTGGTACCGGAGATCGAACTCGGGTCCTTGCGCTTGCGCAGCAGGCGGCGAAACCGCTGAGCTAAATCCCCAGCCCTGGAAGATTTGTAACAAAGCTTAATCGCTTTGGGCTAAGGAGGTAGCTCTGAGGAGGAGCACTTGGCTATCAACTGGGCACCTGGATTGCATCCCCAGCACGGCAAAGAAAAATCGAGCCAAAACACAAAAACCATGCAACAGCTTTAAAAAAAAAAGAATAGCCTTAACTAGCAAGAGCTGTTATCACTCAGAAAAATGATGAACAAGAAATTGTATATAGGACATTAACAAGTAATCCACACAAATCCAAGTTATTTTACTGATACACCACTGCCTCAGATTGTGAGGGTTCAGCAATAAACCAAAAGACAACATCCTTGCTACCAAAGAGCAGAAATGAAGAATAAGACAATCTCAAGGAATACTGAACAAGTCCTGTGAGGACGAGAGAAGAACTGTGATCAGGAGGCCTCCACTCAGCAGGGGTGGCCAGGGAAGACCTCGCTAAGGGAGTCAGAGCGAGCAGGCCAAGGAAGCGAAGGCCCCGAGACAGCAGACACAAGCACAGGCACACGGGCGCTGAAAGGCCACACAGCAGTGTACGCAGTGGATGATCGACAAGGACACAGATGAGCAAGAGAAAGGTCAGAAACACACCTGTCTGCCCTGACCGAGGCAGGCGCGGAGGTGCTGTTCAGTGGAGCAAGCGGAGGCAGGCCCTAAGGGGGTGAGAGGCACGGGTCTGGAGCCCTGCAGACACTGCTCAATGACAGAATGAAGGCAGAGCCAGGGCGGGGACCCCAGTGCAAAGCAGTCAGGTCACAGACATCTCAAGGATGAGGAGGCAGGTCCCAGGGAAACAAGAGTGTCACTGCAAAGCCAGGAGAACAAAGCTGTGAGGAGAAAAGCAGCAAGGCCATGTAAGGGAGGCAGGCCTTGGAACACAGAACCGAACCGGCTGCAAACCCTCCGGAGCCAGTGCGAGTTGAGTTCTCACTGACCAGAAATGCAGAAAACATCAGGGAAGCGGTTGCTCTCCTCTCAGACTGGCTTGGAAGCCAGAGAGGGTGGGACAGGCTCCCGCGCTAGGAAGTGAGGGAATGATAAATGGCGTGCACATTTCTGGAGGGCACCAGCGGCCAGGATGTATTTATCCTTCACAAAATTCAATTCCTTGGGCTCTCCGCCTGAGAAGTAAGAGTGCTCCCAACAGGACTGCCTATGACAGCTACCCTGGGAACGGTCCCACTTTCCATCCAGGGAAATGCTGCTACTGGCACATCCCACGCAGGAAGGAGAAGGCCAAGGAGCCCTTCAGAAAGGGGCTCTGCAGAGCCTCTCACCACGGCTGTGTGCTCGGCACCACAGCCCGCTAACGCCAGCTGACTGAGAGGCCGCCGTTCGTACAGCGGCACAAAACAGTCTCCACAGTGCACTGAGAAAAGAAGGACTTAGCTGGGAAGCAGCATGTGAAATGCATTCTCAGCACTTGCTGGAGTCCTCCAAGTTCTCAGCCTGGGTACAGATGCCCCCGAGGGACACACCTGAAACCTGGCACCAGCAGCTGCCTCTGGAGAGAGGATGCGGGAAGACTGCCCATGGGTTCGAGCAGCCTGGGGCCTGAAACTGCGTACAAAAGAAGACAAGGCCGAGGGGACCCTCTTCCTGGTCCACTCCCTCGGTCTCTCTCAGAAGCTATCAGAAGCTATCTAGCTCTCAAGAAATTCTGCCTACTCTTAAAAAGTAAAAGGTCTAGAAGGTTCAGTAACAAAATACTAAATGGTTACTTTGGAAGGACCTTGTCTGAGTAAATGTGTACGGGGGGAAGTGGGATGTGACACCTTTCTCTTTCTTGGTTTATCTTGAACTTCTAAAAACAATCAGGTATCTCCTAGAAAAGAACATTACTTCCTTTTCCAGTTGAAAGATTTTCAAGCACATCAGTGTGAATATTTGAGAAAGTCTTACCCTGTGGGGACTGCATTACCTTTGTTCCTTTTCTCCAGCCCCATTGTGATTAAATGTGAGTTAATGGATAAAGATGCTTGTTAGTTTGGGGACATTAGATAAAATCTGTAACAGACCTAAAGTCCCAAAGTAAACTACTCAACTCCTTGTTTGCCTGGAACTGATGTTCCGGACACCACAATCTATAGAACGAGCTGCAGATGTCTGCTAACCATCAATACGTGACAGTCGACCACTAACCTTTGTCCCCTTTTCTTTAATTCTATATGTTAACTTCCCCCTCAACCCCCTATAAGAACAGCCTCGGACTCTGAGCCAGTTGCCTCTCTAAGCTATTTTGCTTTGGGAGTGCCGTCTGGCCAGACTAATAAAGGTCTGTTTTACTTTCCAACTTGTCTGGTGTGTTCCTTCCCGGGTGTTTGTCACTGCAGTCAGCTCCTCGGAGCGTTTGGTAAGGCCCTCGGTCTTGCATTTTGGAGGCCCCAGTGAGACCCCGGGTAAGGAACCCCGGTTCAGCTGAGACTCTGTGGCGGGATCCAGCAGGAGACTCTCAGGCACAGACCTCAGAAAACCTCCGGAGGTAAGTTTTTGGCCGGTTGCAACCGTTTGTTGTCAGGAGTGAGGTGGCTGACAGGCCGGTAAGCCTCCCCTGACCCCAAGGTTCCTGACAAGGAACAAGGGAAGGTTTAGTTTCAGTTTTGTTGTGGCGCCTGTTCATCCTGTCATTCGTACGTTAGTGTCCTGTCTGTTGTGTGTTTTTAACTTTGTATTTCTTTCCAAACCATCAGGGAGGAGATGGGAGGATCCTGCTCCAGAAATACCCCATTGGATTGATTTCTCACTAATTTTAAATTGGCTTTTTCCCCCGAACAGGAGAACAAATATGGGGTTAAATTTTCTTATGGAAAACTTTGCTCCCTGTGTCAATTGGAATGGCCAGCTTTGGAGTTGGATGGCCAGCCGAGGGCTCCTTTGAGCCGAGCCTCTGCCGGGCGGTATGGCAAAAGATAACCGGGTACCCTAGCCATCCTGATCAGTTTCCATATATAAATATCTGGGTTCAGGCCTGTCAAGAGCCTCCAGCTTGGTTGCAGCGTTGTTCGTTGTGAACAAACTCTCGCATTCTGGTTATGGCCCCAAGGGAACCCCAAGAGGCCAAAATCTGGGCTCCCAAGCCGGTGCTCTCACAAGATCCTGACCCCTCAGATCTTGTTATAAAACCTCCAGCCTATGTGGAGCCATCCTCCTCCTCTGATAAAGCCGGCCCCAGATCTCGAAACCCTCTCTCCCCTCCTCTTCCCGAAGAAGGAAAATCTCCGGATTCTGTAACCTCCCCCTCCCACACGCGAACAGGTCCGCTTATGGTCCCAGCAGGGCTCCCACTGAAGGGACTAGTTCACTTCCTCTTCTGCCTCTTAGGGAAATAAAACAGGGTCACTATGTCTACATCCCTCTCTCTACCAGTGATTTTGTATAATTTGAAACATCAAAATCCCCCTTTTTCAGAAAAACCCCAGGCTTTGATCTCCCTCCTAGAATCTGTTTTTCATACCCATGCCCCAACCTGGGATGATTGCCAACACCTTCTCCAAGCTCTTTTTACCTCTGAGGAAAGAGAAAGGATCCAAGGGCAAGCCATAAAATCAGTGTTGGGAGGAACAGAGGGCCCACTTGATGAGCAACACCGGGCCTGTGTTGAGGCACAACTTCTGTCCACCCGTCCCCCATGGCAAGTTAATTCCTCGGGTGGGAGAGAAGCTCTCCAAAACTACCATCAGCATCTCCTAGCCAGCTTGAGGGGAGCTGCTCGAAAGCCTACCAATTTGAGCAAGGTAAGCGAGGTCCTTCAAGGACCTGAGGAATCCCCTTCTGCCTATCTGGAGCATCTGTTGGAAGCATACTGTATGTATACTCCAATTGACCCAGATGCCCCTGCAAATTGACAGGCAATTAATTTGGCTTTTGTCACTCAGTCGGCCCCAGATATTAGAAAGAAACTGCAGCGGATAGAAGGATTTGAAGGAGAGAATAGGAAAAAGTTGATGATTGTGGCGATGAAGGTGTTTAACAATAGGTATCCTTTTGAGGATAGAATGGCTAAGAAGATAGGAAAGGCAAACATTACAGCCTTGGCAGATGGAGGTTTTATCTGAAAGGAATACAGAGAAAACAAAAAAGAGGATAAAAGTAAAGTACGGCCCTTGTTAGAGAAGGATCAATGCGCATATTGCAAAGAGAAGGGCCATTATAAAAGGGATTGTGAAAAGTTAGAAAGAGAGAGAAAGAGACTAAGAAAGAAAGAGATGGGGTTCTTCTAGTAGATAAAAAAGATTGACGAGGCCAAGGTGGGGATTTCCAAACACATCCACTGACTCCAGAAAGCCGGCATCTTGATCCCTTGCCAGACAGCCTGGAATACACCACTGCTTCCTGTGAAAAAGCCCGACACCTCAGACTTCAAACCGGTACAGGATTTATGGGAAGTAAACAGCCAGGTGGAGACCGTTCACCCA